GGAAATGATCATTTTTGGTCAGGTCATTATATGCCCATATATATAATCATGGAACAGAAATTATTACCAGAAAAGGGAAGGTACTATGGTGTGTGTATCTTGTCTATCTCTTCCATAAGATGCTTTTACGGACCTGGGGCTATTTCTTGTGCATAGTAAGCACTAAATAAATATTTATAAATAGCATTAGCATAGTCTTCTAATTTGACAGGAATACTTAAAATAAGGCCTAAAGCAGGAGGAAGAATATAAATTCATTTGCTTGGAACTCATTTTTATGATACACACATATCTGAAGACCATCTAAATGCTTAGCTTAGAAGTTTAGGACTATTGATTATAAGCGTTTATTAACGTAGAAAGTAACTCAACATTTTCTTTGTAATCTGCATTTTTTGCAAATTTCTGGGTGATCAGAAGAGGTATGCTGGTGTCTTTGGTAACTACGTGCAGCTTTGCAGAAGTTTTCATTGTAACTCTCTTTTAGATGATGGTATAATCCTTTCAGCCATTAGTGTAACTTCATAAATATTTTTTTTAAATATTGCAAAGGAGGAGAATGTTATTTGATATTTAAAGAACATTTTTTCCTTCTTTAGAATTTATCTAACTTTCTTTTTAAGTGCAGTCTATTTCCTGTCTGAGCACAGTCTTAGTCTCAGTTTATGAGTTCAGTCATTTAGCACAAAATTTGAAATTGAAGTGAGCTCTGAGTTAGTTAGAGGTGGGAAATTGTGCCCTGAGATTTCTAGTGTTCTCCTTTTAACTCATATTTCTTCAGAGCTAATCAGTTCCCCTTTTGGGGAAACAAAGTCCTTTCCTCTCTCCATTATGTGTATTAATCAGGAGAATTGTGTGAGCAGAAGGACACACAGATGGAGGAGGAGAAATAGGAGAAGAATCTTCCTTTTGCTTCCTCTTTTGGAATTTCAACAAGATTGAATGAGGAAAACTACCCATTTTTATTTTTTGAAAGCATACAGCTGGGATGAAGTGTTCATTTTGGCTTTACGAAAACCCTGAGCTGGTATACCCAAAGCACATTATGTAGGGATAGGGTAGATAATATAAAAAGGAAATGACGTAGCCTCAATTATTTGGATAATAGAGCATTGATGTGGTATAATTTTCTCAGGTGCCAACATAACAGAAAATGGCTCTGACTTTCTTCAGGCTACTTTCCTTGTGGCTATTTCTTTCTTGTATCATCCTGACTGCCACTCCATTCCCACCTCTCACACACAAGCATTTTGTCTGTTGTTTTTGCTCAGACATTCAGAAACACATTTAATGATGTTTGTAAATGTAGCTTCAGGGTAATGATAACATTCAGTTCTTCTCACTGAATCCAAAACCACCTATAACCACAGCCAAAAGTGATATACAGGCTTTCTTTTCTTTTGGTATTTGTTTTATGGACACTTGATTAAGAAAGGTAGTACGATTTAAAAATGCTTTGCTCTTTTTTTTTTTTTTTTTGGTGAGGAAGATTAGCTCTGAGCTAACATCTGTTGCCAATCCTCCTCTTTTTGCTGAGGAAGATCGGCCCTGGGCTAACATCCGTGCCCATCTTCCTCTACTTTATATATAGGACGCCTGCCACAGCATGGCTTAATAAGTGGTATGTAGGTCTGCGCCCAGGATCCGAACCTGCGAACCCCTGGCTGCCGAAGTGGAGCACGCAAACTTAACCACTATGCCACCAGCCTGGCCCTTGCTTTGCCATTTTTACTGTTTCAAGGTAAACATTTTAATTTTAGCTTATAATTCTAATTCATTTTAAATTTATAATCATAATATAACAATAGTTCTTACACTTTAGAAAAAAATCATATGTAATAGCATCACCTTCCACAATTATTATTCTGTCTATTCATTTTCAAGCTTTTGCTATATGCATGTTTTTATGTCATTGTAATTATTGCTTAATTTTTAAATTAGATTTTTTTTTGAAATTCAAAGGAACAATATGCTGATGAAGACTATGTACTTTTTACTTAGTTTAGGAGATCAGCTACTGCTAATGAGAAAATCACTATTTTCTAGAGTCACTGTGACTTTTAAATTTGTCACAGTCAGATGGTGATTTTAAAGACTGATTTATTATAATTATCATATTATTATTATAATTTTTATCTGTTAAAGTTGAGTGAGGCTCACAATTGTTATGTGCATGACAGCAGCTATACAGAATCATTCTAGCTTTGTAAATATTAGATTTGACTGTGTCGCTAGGAAACCCAAAATAAAAAAAAAATTAAATTAAGCAGCAAACATATTATGAAATCTAAATTGTGTTGTAAAAAACAATGCAGCTCTGGGTTACGTTCTATTATCAAAACTGTTGTGTAAGATGTTTTACACGGAAGTTAAAGAAAAAAGACACTCTTTACAATGCAGTGATCATTTCCTGCTTCATTTTTCATTTTCTTTTCATGTGAAGAGCTTTTGCCCCTCACTAGGAGTTGCTTTAAATCTCTGGGAAGTTCTGTTCCAAATTTACTACTTCTGGTGGGTTAAGATCCCTTTTAAGTCTGTGCTTTGTTCTCTGAAAAGCTTGGGTCAGTTGAGCAACACGCTGCTAATGTGAAAAAAAAAAAAAAAAGAGCTGAGTAATGCTGGCGCCTTCTCATGTGGCTGATGCAAACCTGGAGAATTTGCATCATCATTTAGCCGGAGTAAGTTGGTGTGACAGGCAGGAGCTTAAATACCAGCCCACGAGGAAGCTCGGCTGGTCCGTAATGATAGGGAGGCAGCAGCCGCCGCAGCAGAGGTAGTCCGAGGAGGTGAAGGAGCCGAGAGCACCATGAGCACACACGTGTTTCTGAAGAGTTATTAGACAGCTGTGAAGGAGAAAATACACCTTTAAGTTTTTACCTGTGAACACAATAAGCCTGAGAGAGACAGTCTGAAAGCAAAGAGGAAGAGATTGGTCAGTCACACCAAGAGACACCAAAGTTGAAAGTTTCGGGGTTTTTTTTCCTCTGTTTCATTTTTCCCCCGTGTGTCACTACAATGGTCAGAAAGCCTGTTGTGTCCACCATCTCCAATGGAGGTTACCTGCAGGGGAACGTTAACGGGAGGCTGCCTTCCCTGGGCAGCAAGGAGCCACCTGGGCGGGAGAAAGTGATGCTGAAGAAGAAAATCACTTTGCTGAGGGGCATCTCCATCATCATTGGCACCATCATTGGAGCAGGAATCTTCATCTCTCCTAAGGGCGTGCTCCAGAACACGGGCAGCGTGGGCATGTCTCTGATTATCTGGACAGCCTGTGGGGTCCTGTCACTGTTTGGTGAGTGCGGCTTCTTCTCTGGGGGTGTGTCTGTGGAGCTGGGCAGTTTGCTTTCTGGGAAAGCAAAGGGTAATTTTTAAGGAGTGAATGAATGGCAAAGGCTACACCAAATTTTCCAATTTCTGTTTAGGTATGTGAACTACCCAAACACAGTGTCCACTGTTGGCAGGGTCCTGAATTCCCTCAAATTGCTTTCTGCAGGCTCTACTCTCTTTTCCTGTAAGACATACTATTTTCTGACTTTCCCCTGTGGTGATGAGAGCAAAAGCTAACTTTGATGACCCAGTAAAATACATTCAAGCTTTCTGTGTGGGGCAGTTGTGCTTAGTAGCATACATTTGGCATACTGGCATACTGGCAGTATACATACTGGCAGCTGACACGCTGAATGAAACACCTGTGAAGTGAAACCCAGTGTGACCTATTTAGACACAGAACTGAGTGTTTACAGAAGTTTTACTGACTTTTTATTGGCAAAACAAACGGGTGGCAGTCTTTTCCTTTTAATTTTTTTTTAACTTCATGTGCTTGCCAGTTCCTAATATTCTTTCCAAGGTCCTTGACATGGAAAGACGTGTGACGGCACATAACTGAATCCCGTTGTAAGTGGGAATATTGCTAGGGTCTGAGCATATTTCAAATTGTTTCACCCTTTCATCTCTCCCCAATACCTATAAATTTTTGCAATATAAATTGTAAAACTGGAATTGGGTATTATTTTGCTGTTCTTGCCCAGATCTGTTTTCTTCATTTATAGTTCACTTGGTCTCCAGGGGCACAGATAATTTGTCCACCTGTTCACTGAGTTAATCTGAACAGAACTGGTAGAAGATGTGTGATTATTAATTTTTCTTCAAAATCTAGATCTCTTTCATTGATTTGATAATTAATAGTAAAACAGTAATAAATGCCCTCTCATGAGGTGGGCAAATTGCTAGAAAGCTACCAGAGTTAGTTGTAAAGGTAACAAAAACTGGTGAATGGTTAAAAAAATTATATTTTATTTATACTATGGGGTAAACGTCTAAGATATACTTGCTTCTCTCTGGCAAATAGTGTGTTTTGATTCCAAAAGACACTACTCTTTAAAAGTACTAACTCTTTGTCCTAACTCTAGGACCAAGTCCTCGCTCTTGGTCCTACACCTACCAATACATTCATTCTTAAGGCCTCGTGATGTTTTAATGCATTGGTTTGGTCATTCAGCTAGAGAACTCAAATTTCCATGATTAGAAAGAACGTTTTTTAAATGGAACTTGTTAAAACAAAGCCTTAGTAGAGAAATATCTATAGAGGGAATATTTTTAGGTTTTTAATGAGAGCTGGTGGTATTCTATATGGTTCTGGCATGTACATTTATAAACAAAGAGGAACCTAATTGTTGCTCTTCTTAAATAACTTTGTGCACCCTCAGTCTTTAATCTTCTATAACACTTGGTATATTCAGAATAAATCAAAGTCTAATAGGATAAACCATAACCAGTTTCCTGGACTCTGCATACCTGTGTGCATGCAGCTTCCACTATGTGATTTGATTTTTGTACACAATAAAAAGTTATTCAGATATAACAAAATGATCGCTCTGAGCATTGAACTAGCTAAAGTGATGTGACTTGACTATGAAAACACACTTCTGCATAAGTATATCATCACAAGCAGAAGCTCAGGAAAAATAAGTTAAAGGGACTAGCTAAGGCTACACTTGAGCTGGTACTCTTTGATTACTAATTGCAATGAGGGTGCTCCTGTATTAATCTACTTATCTACAGTTATATTGCGTTTGTCACTTAAGTTACTAGGAGCTTTTTGAGTGCCTCCCTAACAGGAAGAAAAGCATCATAAGGAAAAACAATCCTTTCTCTTAAAATTCTAGAACTCTGGGACTGAGAAGAAAGGATCTATATATGTGGTTTACAATTTTTTAAAGCCAGGGTTAATGCATGGATTTTTACATCCTGTTTTGAACTTTTTTCGTCTGGGTAAAATGATTATGGAGCTTGAGACCTTTCAATGAGAATCTCATTCCTCCAGAACTCAATTTAAACCTAGGGCAACCATCCTGGAGTTTCAGCAAAGCATCACAAGTTCAGGTATTGATTCCCTGGCAATAAATTCTGAAGTACTTAAAACTCTTTCTAGTAACATTTTATATTGGATGCTTTTCTGTACAGCCCACCAACATGGCGACGGGTTTCCAACAAAGAGTGAATTGCAACTTCGATTAGTTATAAATAGGCAAACTCTCAGTGATCCCCCAATATCAATCTGCAGACTAGTTACTTTAGAATCATGTGTGCGAATTTGAAAATAATCGATTTTCTTGGGTCCCTCTATTGGAGAGTCTGGACTCTCTTGGTTAGAGAGTAGTTCTAGGATATGGCCTTAGAGTCTGTTTTCTGTTTGTTTTTAAATAAAAAATTCTTCCCAGTGACTCTGATACAGTTCTAGGTTCAAGAATACATTAAGTGATACTAAGATTTCACTGAATATCCAGATTATATTCATGTTGGACAGTCTACCTGAAGCTTTACTGTTTAGTAATAATTTCCCACACTTAGTCTCTGAAGTAGCTCAGGCAAAAATTGTGTGTTACATTTGAGTACTTAGCATTATGGATAGAACTTTTCATATAATATCAAGATTATATTTTTCATTTTCTTGATAATCAATTGCTCAAATTAATAGGTATAACTATATTTCATGAAGTGCTTTCCATGTGTCAGGTGCAATTCTGTCCTTGGCATTCATTATCGCATTTACATGCACAATCCCCTTATTGGGTGAGACTTGAGATCTCCATTTTACAGAGGATGAGACTGAGGTTTTGAGAGGTTACAAACTTGCTCAAGTCCATGTGAATTGTATTGCTAGATATTAAAATTTGGTTTATAATTAATTTTACCTAATGTATTTAGATATAAATTATAGCAGCTCTTTTTTAAAAGTATGCTTACGTCAACCACCCAGAAGTATACAGTTCAACAACATCCAAGAAAATCTTTTCTAGAAATAGAATATCTGAGTGGAAATTCATTTTGTTGACAAACAAAACGTACCTTACAAATTAAATGAAATCTTGCAAGGCTTAGAGTCCATAGTTTTTGAAGTACAGCTAAATCTTGTTTATTTTGATGTACCACAGAAGTAAATTTATTAAAAGGATTCTTGTTATAATGAGGTCAATTTGGATTAATTCCTTGTCTTGGTGTGAAGTCTTCTAAAAATAGGTTAATTATTGACATCTATCTTCTCTTTTTCTCTTGTTCTCAGGTTTGAGATTCAAAATTCTTAACAGTATGATATTGTGTTAGAAGTTTGTCTTTACCATTTCAAGTAAAATTACATTGTTTGAATAGAATGAACTAGATCTCAAGTATGAGAAAGTTACAAGAGGAATTTGTGCTCTTATCAGATGACCGTTATCTGTCTTGAAATAAGGGTGTTATTCAGACCAAATAGTGTAGTAACATCTCACGCAACATAAACATTGTTATACACATTCTACTGCAGGATGACTTGGTAATATTTTAATTTTGTGGCTTTTTATTATAAATATTTCATAGGAGCCTTGTCCTATGCTGAACTGGGAACAACTATCAAGAAATCTGGTGGTCATTATACATATATTCTGGAAGTCTTTGGCCCTTTACCAGCTTTTGTACGAGTCTGGGTGGAACTGCTTATAATACGGTAAGAGCATAGATAGAAAAATTAAGGAAAAATAAACCTATTCATTATGCCCTTCTTTGAATCACTTTGATTATTTTTAACTAATTAGAAATATGCATGTCATGTGACTATGTTGTAAATATGTCTACATAAAATCTGTGATGAAATACCTCAATTAATGTTTTTAATGTAGTTTTGCCTCTGGCTGTAGTTCGCCAACCATGCCAAACTTGTAAAGTATTTGCCTTTCTTTAATATTCGGTTATTCTCTATGACTTTATAGGAAAGATATTGACCTAAAAGGATATGAAGCATCAAAATCCACCTTGATAAATCATAACTTTTGACTGGCCAGACAAAATTAAATATTATGCTAGGAACTGGAGTTTTCCTTTCTGTAGATTACACCATTAAGTCATTTAACCTCACTTAATTTTCATGATTAGGAAACGTCTGTGGCTAACAACTTAGTGTGTCACCAAGTCTTATGCTTTACAACAAATAAAACTTTGACATGAATGACTCACATCCTCACGTTAAACAAATCAATGAACTACAGTTGCAAAGATCCTTTTTGATTTTATTGTTGTGAGAATATCTTCCTCTTCCTGATTATCTTGGTATAAAATCAAACCAAATAGTGCTAAGTCATTCTGAATAGCAAATTTCCTTCAACTTTGAGGGAAACTTGTGATGTCATATGAGAAGCTTCGAGTATCAGAGTTCCATAAGGCTAAATGCTTTCATAAAACATGACTTGCACATTCTGATTAGAGTTTAACATACGTAACTAGGGAAACTTGCTCTTGCTGTAAACTGGTCAGACATACATAGCTGAAAACTCACGTGAACTTTTATCCTTTCATTTGTGGTTAAGTGGCAAATGCAGAGCTAATAAGTATTGACTTAACACTAATCATGATTTTTATAGTCCTAGGAGTCTCTTTCTTAAAAAGCTTCAGAGTAGTGTTTATGACTTTGTTAAGTCTGTTCTCATTTTAAACAATTCTGCATTATTTAAAACTTGTTATAATGAAATAATGATAAAGAAGTATTTTGTTCCTTTTCTAAAATCTCAGATTTGCCTGGGATGTGCCTTCCACTCTTTTCTGATGATCTGAATCTTACTCTTCAAAAGTCAGCTTAAATCTTATCTTTTCCACAGTTAATTTCCTGTTCATCCTGGGTTATAGTATTTCTTTCCTCTCTTAATTCTTCTGAAAAATGCAGTCTCCACTTCTCATTTGACATTGAACATGATAACTTATATTCCTGCTCAACATTTTAGGTGTCTGTGTTCTGTTTCCCTGTTAGAACTGCAAGCATTTCCAGCACTTACGACCAGGTCTCACACTTTTTGTAACCCTGATACTACTTACTTCAGTGCCCTGAGTGTCACAGATATTAAGTTCTTTTTGAATAGTGACTGAAAGTTTAAGGTTATAATATTTTGAATACAACATACTCAGTATTCAAATGAGTACACTACTGATTTAGAGTGCTGACCTAGGATTTAGGATGGTGGGCTTTGGAGCCTGATCTAGCTGGACTTGAATCCCTCTTTAGCCATGTATTGGTTGTATGGCTTTGGCTAATTGCTTGGCATTATGATGAGCATGATCATTCCATTTGCAGTAGCATGGATACAGTGCTCATTCATTCATTTATTCATTCCATGAACTGCTACTGAATGGCGAATGGCAAGTTAAAGCAATCTAAAGTGGATTGAACCCCAATTCCTGCTCCCAAGTAGCCCTTAATCAAATGTTACCTTAATTGCAAGAAAGCTGCTTCATGGTATGTGTGTGTGTGTTTTGACAGAGGAAATTACCTAGATGTATTCTAAAAGCTTTTTTAATAGGCTCTTACATTTCTTTGTAATAATGGACTCACATTGCTTGGTTGGTCTTTCAAACAGGCAGAGTAATGAATGACTTGAGGGGTGACAAGTACCTAGGTACTATAACATTTCTCTTCTGTTGATAACACTCATGGTACCTAAACGCTTACTATTAAAACTATACTTCAGATTAAGTCACTCTTGAAAGAAATAATCTGTAAAACAGATTTCAAGGAAAGAAATATCACACATCAGTATATAGCAGGGGTCATTAGATTGAATCACACATTCACCATATATTCAATATTTATTGGGTTTCTTCTATATGATAGACACCATACTGAACATGGGGATAAAATGGTGATTAAGATGGACACAGTCTTGTACTCATGGAGCTCAGGGTCAAATGAGGGAAATAGTTATCAATCAAGAAATCACATGAGTGAATATAAAGTTGCTACTGTGATAACGACTGGGGAAAGGAAGCCATGAGGTTCAGTAAGAGAGTATTCTCTGGAGATCTAACCCACGCAGAGTGTTGGAGAAGCTTCCTTGGGCAAAGGAAGATTGAGCTAAGATCTGAGGTATAAAAAACTGTCAGTGAGTTGCAGGGCCTCCAGGTAAAGGCTATTCAGATCCTTTTAGTGAGAAGAAGCAAAGTGAAGAGGACGGGAAGGCTTAGACCAGATGGAACCTTAACTGAAGGATTTTTGCATATCCTGAACATGTTTTGAAAGCACTAACATGACATGATCCGATTTCAATTTATACATCAAAAGTTTACAAATGATGGAGAACAGGAAAAATAGTCTTATTTGGGGAGAGGAGGAAAGGGTCTCTAGGAAAAGAAGAAAATCAAGAAATTTATGGTGCTGTCTAATATAAGCAGGCCAAGGTTGGAACATAATGGTGGTTGGTTTTCTGACGGTCTAGGGATCCAGCATGGGTGTTGGGTAACTAAGAGAAGGAAGAGAAGCTAAAAGGGAAGACTGGCATGAGAAATTAGGTAATTCCATGGACTTGTCCATGTATCTAAAGAATATGCATTCATATGTACATATATAAACTGAAAAGGCGTATGTAATTTTTTTATAGAACTATGTGAATAATAAAAGTAGAATAGTTTGTTACCTATCTTGCTATAAACCTGAACTTATTTCATTTTCTTGTCTCCTGCCTGTTTTCTCAATTGTGTAAAATTACAAGAGTACTGTTATTTTTCAGCTTACACTTTGCATCTAAATATTTCTATGGAATTGAGAATGATCACTTGGCTCTTCAAGTTTTTGTCTGTACTGGAAAAATAAGAATAATACACATTCCTGACCATACCCTGACCCGTGAGATCTGCACTGTTAACATATTCATGCTGTGGCAAGAGTTTAATTATTGATTTATTGAGAAGAAGACTGCCTCTTGTGAGGCCCAGCTCTGTCAGGATCTCAAGTAATAAACTAGATTTTTAAGGAAAAAAAGAGTCATATATGGGAGAGAAAAATTGATAGCACCCAGTCGTGCTCCCAGGGATATGTGAAGTTTAAAAACTAGCCACCAAAGTTATGGGGAATATTTCATTTGGAATGTCTAAGACAACCTAATAAAATATGGAGTCCTGAAAATTACAGACTTGCATATTTAACATGTTCCATATGCTGAATAACAATACTTCATGGTAGAAAAGTTTAGTGAAGATGCTTTTTTTTTTTCCTGTAGTGAACCTAAATATTTTCTTTCTAGCCCTGCAGCCACTGCTGTGATATCTCTGGCATTTGGACGCTACATTCTGGAACCATTTTTTATTCACTGTGAAATTCCTGATCTTGCAATAAAGCTCATTACAGCTGTGGGCATAAGTGAGTATCATGGGTATAAATATGAAAGAAAAAAACCCCACAAAAGTGATTGGCTGTAAAGTTTCTTCAGACTTTTTGTATGGTGGGACTGCTCCCCACATCATGTTTTTTTGCTTACAGTTCCTTGGCAGATTTGTGTTGGAATATAAAAAAAAGGAGGAGGATTTGGAGTGATCCCTGATATTATTCTACATGCTAGTTTTGCATTGGGTCAATAGGTATGATGGTTAACCTTTTAAAATAGGCAAACAAAAACCACCTTGTTAGTAAAACTGTAACTGAATTGTACATAAAGATAGAATTCTACAGATGAAAATTCAATTATTTTATGGATTTTTTGAATGAGAAATTATCCTTCCTCAGCGATAACATGTTGAATTATAATTCATCCTCATGGAGTGATGTTTGTGTGTTGGGCGTGTCTGTAGTGTTCACACATTTTATAGTGTTAGCAGCTGTTACTTGCAGTGTTATAGTTCTAGCTGTCCTTTGATGATCATGATAAGAGTCTTCCTTCAATATTTTGATCATTAGTAACATTTCTCAAATTAGGAAGTTGTTCATTTTTTATCAATGGGCACAGATATTAGGAATTTTTTTAAAAAAGGAAATAAAAAAGAGGAACATGAACAACATTGCATAAGTGATATGAAGCCAAAACATGACTCTAACTTCCTATAGGAGTCAAGATTCCAAACTCTTGAATATTATGGGAAACAACTTATAAATAACAAATAACTATTTGTTGACTGACTGATTTTTATGAGAAGGGGTCTAAGAATTTTTCTCCAGCAAAGAAGTCTAGGGAATGTCTACTTGTTAAACTTGGAGGTTTATACGTCTTCAGTTTTCTCAGGCAGCAGGAAAATAGTGGTAAATGAAATACAGTTTGCTCAATATGATGTTCAGATCTAATACCATGAGCTTTTGTGGGATGAACCATCTTAGCTTAGTGGTTATAGTTTAGGCTCTGGAGACAGACAACCTAGAATTGAAACTTAGTGTCACAATTTCTTCGTTATGTGATTTAAAGTTAAATATTAAAGCTTTTTAAGTGTCAGTTTTATTTATGGGTAAAATACCTGTGAAAAGATAATCTGTCGTGAATGGCTGCAGAAAGATGAAATTATGTCAGATTTTTAAGGCCTTTAGCAGAATGCCTTGCCCATAGGAAGTTCTTGATAAATCTGGTGTCCCGCTAAGAGATTGGCCATTGTTGTACCCATTACATTCCTATCCCTCAAATGGCTAAGGTAGAATTATATCACAATTATTATATTCAAAAAGACAAGGATAGGGTAGCATTTTTGAGAGCTCTATAAATTGACAATTGTAGTTACTAATTAAAATCTATTACCAACAAACTTTCAGTAGATTTTTTGTAAACATTTACAAATCTACAAATATTGCCTGCTTGGACTTGAAATGAGATGGGTAATGATAACATATTACTCTTTTGATAAGTCTAGGTGACCCTCTTCTTATTTGTCCCAATTCTACTAAACTTTTTAAAGGGAAAATTTGTATTTTGGAGGAGTAAGTGGAAACCGTTCAACCTAAAATTTTAAAGCAATTATAGGTAAGGATAACAAAGTATGGGCCGTTTATAAAACTCCTGTAGTAGAGATTGGTGATAGAATAGTTAACAAAGAGCCTGAGTATCTCTTGGATTAACCTGGACACTTCCTTCTATTTTTTCCATTAGTTATAACATTAGTTTACAAATTTTGATGTTCCTTTTGCAAGCTTGAGATTCTGAGGAAATGTGTTCCTATAATCAGAAGCACTGAAAGAGAAAACTGGATATTCTTATGACTCAGCGTTTGGTAATGGGTAATGTCAATCAGTGGCCTAATTGGGAAAGTCAAACTGTCTTTGAGAAAACTTTAGCTTTAATGGAGCAACGGTGGGGGGCGGAGATGGAGACAGAGAGGGAGAAATGTACCTGGGGGCAAATCTCTCGCATTCTGCGTTGTTCAAAGTGAGTGTAGGTGATTTTCTGCCTGCTACAGGTGGAAGGTTAGTGAGATGTAGAAAGCAGAGTCTAATTGCATGAGTTGCTTCTCTGTATTCCCTGGGGAAGGAAACAGTTTGTGGGAGTTTGAAATCTCTAGTTCAAGTGTAGAAGAAGGGCAAATCTGAAGGATCTTGTTATAATCAAATCACAGAAAAAAAGATTTTCAAGTTTTGTGAAACATTAACCAACCATTTGAGAAATGATAGTGCGGTGGGGGTGGGGGGGTGGGAAGTTACTAAATGCTAATCCCCCTCCCACGTTTTTTTAAAGTACTCTACTTCATTTCTATCAAATTAACAAAGATGAAAAGCTTTTGCTTTTCCAAAATCCTGTCCATTCTGGTAAACATGTCAGGCACATGGAAGTTTAACTGGGAAATCATATATATTCACATCTGGCGCTCTCTCTAGCCCAATACTGATGTTACTCCCTTTACCTTCTACAGAACTCCATGAATCTTCACTATCCCTGTAGCCTCAATAAGCACTGACCTACATTCAACTTGAAAATGATATTTGGTCTTTTGTTCTGGTCTGCTGAAACCAGACCTTTTATAAGCATACACTTGAATGGCAGAATATTATAATAAAAATACTTTCCTCAAAATGTGAGATCTAGTCCTAGATACATCCCTGAAAACCTCTCTGAGTCTCAATGTCCTCACTAGTTTAGTTTATATAGGTGAGTAAGGAGCCTGCCATGCTTCTCATACTCTGTGGAAATAATTAAGGGAAGCAGACAAAATAACACGTGCTATTGCATTGTGAAAAAAATTAGCCAGTTTTACAAATGCATTACTGTATTTTCTTTTTCAAAACTATGTTTTCCTGGCGTCATTAAATTACACGAAAGAAAATCTAGGACCAGTTCTGTGCTAGCATTTCAAGTATAGCATCTGGAGTGGTTCTGTTTAAATCTTCTGAAGTCTGGCTATACCTCCTCCTTTCCTACCGTAACTAAGGTACCAAGACAACCAATTCTTAGGTAGATACACATAGTATCGACATAAAGAAGTACTGTGGAACAACAACCAAATACAAGAGGATGACAAATAAAATGTGGAATCAAAGTGTCCAGAAATTCCAGCCAAGATAAACATGAACCTTAGCAGAGAGGAAGAGCCCTCAGGTGTTTGAAAGAATGAGGTAGGCTGGTGAGATCATCTATGTCTTTGGTGCTACTTCCTCATTGTTACCTGTGAACTAGCAGTAAAAGTGCAGACTCTGGGCTCAGCTTACCTAGGCTCCACTCCTATCTTCACACTTACCTATGTGAACAGAGCCAAGTTAAATAATATGCTGAGTCTCAGCTGTTCATCTGAAAAATAAGGCAAATGATGAACCATGTCATAGAGATATGAGGATTAAATAACATGATCCATGTAAAGTCTTCGTACAATGTCTGCCATATAACAGTTTGCATTTATTTAATGCTTACCATTTTTATAACCACTTGTGAGATCCTAGATACAGACTGTCCTCTGCTTTGTAAAGGTTTTTATTTGCTATACATCCTCTCTGAAATTAATGCATCCAGGAAATAAATGCTAACAAAGAGATAAAGGCAACCCAGCAGCTGTTACAAAAAACAGTGGAAGGATCCACTTTAACTCACCATGTAGTGTCCATACAGCATCCATATATTTTATCAGTTTAGCATGAAGCAATCAGAAGTCAGAAGCCAGGAAGAACCTGAACCTGGGAGAAAATCCAATATATACAGGCTCAGTGATCTCACTCCACAAAACCAAAGACAGACTTGAATTACAGAAGTGCGGGAAGAAATACTTGCCAGTCATTAAATCACAGTGTTAGTCCTTAACGTGCCCCTAAACATTCTCTTCAAATACTGCTCCCTTCAAATATGTATTTCTCATCTCTGGGATTTATACATATAGCTTTCATGGCTGCGTTTCAGTTCTTAGGAAACTGCAAAAACTGTAAGTCCTTGTATTTTCATTTTGGCAACATTTAAGGTAAGCAAAAAAAAAATGAAGCTCAGATTGATATGGGTATTTCCTAATGTGTGAAATTAGCAATTATTATTCAATGGAAGTAAAACTAGGACCAGAGAGCTTGCTCAGACTTTTTTTGATTATTACAACGTGGGTAGATAGTGTATACAAAAACGTAGATACTATTTGTTTCAGAAACTCAGAAAGCTCTTGCATTTAGTGAATCCCAAATCCCTTTTCAATATTGTTGGATAAGCAACATAACGTAGACTTCAATTTCTCTGTAAAGACACATGATGAAACAGCAGTTCTGGCCACTTGAGGACCTTCCCAGTGCCTCTGTACTGTTACCGTGTTACTTGTTAAGCTGTATCCTTCCAGTCATAGAGGTACCTCTCAGCTGGAATTTGGTGTACCAAATAATGAATACGATGTCTGGATGCTCAGATAAAGCAGGGTTTTGCAAACTTTTGAGAGAAGTCAATCTTAACCAGAATTTTTATTTCAGTTGACTGAGAGGAAAGCAAGGTGAAATTATCGGTTCATAGTATTTGATTTTGTCTTCCATTTTTTCTGAGAAAACTTTACAAAATATAAAAGAAAATCTCAAATACTCACTTTTGTCTATTTCAGTAGGTATTAAGTACTTATGTTCTTTGTGAAAGTAACAAACCCTCTCTTCTCTTTTCAAATATATAGATAGAGGTTCCAAAAATAAGAATGTTTCTTTCTCTTTTCCCTCTCGTTTCCTCACTCCTGCCCTTCCTTCCCTCCCTCCTCCTTCCGTCCATCCACCCTTCCTTCTTCCCTTCGTTCCCACTTTCCTGTCCTTCCCTCCCTCTCGCTCTCTTTTCATCTATCCTTCTTTCCCTCCCTTCTTCCTTCTCTGCCTCCCTCCTTCCTTCTTTTCTTTTTTCTCTTTCTCTTTCGCCTTTTTCTCCCTTCCTTTCTGTATACAATAGCTCTTTTCTTTTGTGGAGTACTTTCAGAAATAGAGATTGTTTTGCATTTTAGGAGCTCTGTTTAAAAGAAAACAGTGCTCTTTTGTTGTTGGTGGGAACATGAGTCCAATTTTTTTCAGGCCAATGCTGAATCCCCTTAACTAAAAAAATAATCCTTTTCATATGATGACTCATTTATTACAGAGTCATTTGCATACAAAAAGGAAAAGAATCGCTGGATGATGAAGAGGAGGGCAGGGTTGCATTGAATTATTTTCAATATATAAGTGCTTTATACAGGGGAGAAAAATTATTTTTACTTTTTATCCTTCCTCTGATAAAATAATGCACTTTGCCATTAATGATGGATCTGTTTATTTCTTCATATTTTCAGTTTCAAACATAGATGAAATATTTCCCTTAGCCTCCTCTGTAGTTTATTCACGGCTCCAGCCTTTCTGATCATTCTCATCATTACTCCTTTGAAACATTTCTTCATTAGTAACCCTTTGATCAGTACTCCTTTGACACATTTCTGCATTAGTAACTATTCAGCTTTGTATGGGATCTACTGGTCCCTTATTTTTCCCAACTTCAAATTGTTTTCAAAAATAAAAATTGCTTTATTGATTTTTTTACTTAAAAATGCTGTATGTTCATTATAAAAATTATTAAAATAATGCAGAAAAATAAATTTAAAAATTGAAAATTTTTCAGTATTCTATCATTTATAGATCCTTTCTGTTGAAGTTTGGTAAACACTCAGATTTTTTCCTTCCCTTTCTCTCTTTGTGTTTTTATCTATCTATCTATCTACCTACCTACCTATCTACCTACCTACCTACCTACCTATCATCTTTCTATCCATCTGTCATCTATCCATCTCTCTGTAACTTGCTGTATTGGTCAGTAATATATCATGAACATCCTTTCATGTAATAAATATTTAACTGCATCATGATTTTAAATGGCTGCATAGTAAACCATTAAAAAATATGTACCTTAATTAGCCTTCCTTTAGGAGTCTAGGTTATTTTAAAATTTTTGCCATTATGTGTTCTGTTTTGATAACATTTGCAATGATTCTTAAATTCTGAAATGAGCTAGTGATTATAGCAGGCATTGGAAACTCTGAAGATAACTCATTACTGAACATATGGAAAACTTCCCATTGTAACTTGAATTATAAAAATTCTGTGTTTTATTTTATACTTGAGAAGTACCTTCATACAGTTTTGTTATTTGTTAAGGGGGAATACACCTTTTAAAAAATAAAGCTTATAGATAATAATTGCAGATGCCAGGTAGAAGTAGCTTTTTTGAGGGGGGGGTAACTAAGCATAAGGTTTTGGAAAGAGCATAAAGTTGAATTCCACAGTCTAGTATAACCTCAGTCTTTCCAACAGAGTGTGGGAGGGAGGGTCTTAGAGTATCACCATTCATTTCATGCCTCCTTGGCTGAAAGTAGTTTTTTTAAATTGAGGATCCAGCTCATTTATTTATTCAACAAAACTGGGCCAGATATGGAGCTGGATACTAGCAATACAGAAATGAATAATGCTTGTTCTGTTCTCAAGGTTCTCATGGTCCACAAGGTGGGGAGAGTGGATAGTTGAATGCTACTCAGGAAAGTGTAGACAGCATCATTAAGAAAGGGAAATTCTGCTGGCTTCAGACCCAATATGTCTTCTAGTCTGGGAACTCTTTGGATTCATCATTATAACATTTTATCAAGTGCCCAAAACATATCTTGGACGCCTTGACTTTTAGGGTAGGTTGAAAGTCTCTCCTTTGTGTGCTAATTGGAAAGAGGAGAGGGAATCTAAAAATTGCTGGCTAAGGCTAGTCCTGAGGGTGAAGAATGAGGTCCCAGCCAACTTCTCACCGTATTATCCCTTCTTGAGTATGTTTCCACTCTGGCAGGTGAAATGTGCATGCAATCATTGAGGGAGAAAATAGTTGCCTGCCGCATCAAGCTGAAGAGTCACATTTAGCAATCTGATTGCAAGCTGTGATGACCAAGATTTCCTTAGAAGATATTTTTGTATGATTGTCAGGGCACCACAGTATTTGTCCACTCTTATTGACGTGTACAAATAACAAGAGATGACTTCTTACTCTCTGGAGATTTTATCAAAGCTTCTCAAACATTAATGTGCATAAAAGTCACCTAGAGATCTTTTTGAAATGCAGATTTGTATTCATTAGGTCTGGGACTGTGCCTGAGATTCTGCATTTCTAAAATGCTTCCAGGTAATGCCAACACTGCTGGCTCATGGATGGCGCTTTTAGTAGCCACAATCTAAGACATCTTCATGCCAATTAGGATTCATCTTTTGTAACTTCGTCTGTTTGTTTGCAGCTGTAGTGATGGTCCTCAACAGCATGAGTGTCAGCTGGAGCGCCCGGATCCAGATTTTCCTAACCTTTTGCAAGCTCACAGCAATTGTGATAATTATAGTCCCTGGAGTTATGCAGCTAATTAAAGGTATGAACTGAAAAGTAAATGCTTTTTAAAATGCGAATCTGCTTTTGGTCTGTTCTAACACTAACTTTTGCTTATACTAGCAGAATCCCTTAATTAGTCTCTGCTTGTGGAACTTAGTCTCTATACTGTCATCTAATTGATTTGAAAGGCTGCTACATTGGGGATGAGTTGGTATTTACAGCTGAATGGCAACAAGAGGATTAAGACTGCGCCGAGCAACAAAATAAGGCATCGGTGAATTCTCTCCATATAAACTGCTGGGAGTGAAAACTCCAAGTGGAAAAAAAAAATCTGCCTTTAGTTTTAACTACAAAAAAATAAGTCCTCTTATTTTTACTTTAAAGTAGTTCAATGGTAGTAATAAAGATTAAAGAGAAAAAGATATCCGGAAAATAATGAAAGATGATTAGTAATTCTTTTCCTCTATGGTGATTATTCTTTTTACCTTGAGAATGGAATCTTGACCGAAGGGGAGTGAGACATGGGAATAGCAGTCCTAAAAACCAAATATTATCTGACAATAAAAATAGTTGTAGAAACTTAATTTTTATTGTTACATTATTTTTAATGTAAAATCTGCATTTCTGTAGAAATGTAACACCATTTTCTGGGGGTGTTTGCCTTATAGAGTTGACTATTTAATAAGAAAAGATGAGATGGTTGAGGTGGTGATGTCATTTAGAGTTTCAGTTGTTTTAGGGAGGAAGGCACATACAATTGCTTGGCTTTAGTGGAAATTGTTGGAAGAGAAGGTGGTTGAGGTGAATTATGTAATTTGCAATGGACATGATAACAGGAAATAGGAAAGTGAGATGAAATTGTCAAGAAGTGACATATAACTTGGGCATGTGAAGTATTTAATGTTTACATTGATACTGTCTGTTCCAAGAAAGGGAATTGATAGAGAAATTTAATGAAGTTGCAGGAGAAGAATTACACAAGGCAAAAAGAAATGCCAAAATTCAGCAAAATCATCGCTGATGCTAGAGGCATTATACAATAACAAATATCAAGAGATCAGTCACTCTGTAGCTGGGGAGAGGGAGTTGCTGCTGTCCATTTAATAAGCCTAGTGGGAGATCTTAGAGGTCTCCTGGCTAAACGTTTGCATCAAATCCAGCAACCTCAGCCAACTCAGACGAAACACAATAAAGATTTTTAACAGTATAACTTACATTGAAGAGAAGACGGTACACTCGCTCTTCTGATTCACATTGGCCTCCACGGAGCTGGCCTGCTCATGTTTTATCTGATCCATTAGAAGTCTTGGGCAGATGTTAGCACAGGGCTGATCTCCTCATCAAAAAAATATAAAAAAACAAAAAACAAGGGGCCGGCCCCGTGGCTTAGCGGTTAAGTGTGCGCGCTCCACTACTGGCGGCCCAGGTTCGGATCCCGGGCTGGCACCGACGCACTGATTGTCCGGCCATGCTGAGGCTGTGTCCCACAGACAGCAGCTAGCAGGATGTGCAACTACAACTATCTACTGGGGCTTTGGGGAGAAAGAGGGAAA